CCCATGCACTATAGTTTTCATAGTTCATAATTGTTAGTTACAATTAATTGTCAATAAATGCTCTTAGCAATCTTTTTATTATTATTTTAATTTTAAATAGCTTGTTTTACATGTCAATACCAGTTCCCTCTCCCTCCCCTCCTCCCACAACCCCCACCCTTTCCCCCAGCCTCCCACCCTATCAGGCAAAATGTTGGTGACACACACCTTTAATCCCAGCACTTGGGAGGAAGAGTCAGGTGGATCTCTGAGTTCAAGTCTAGCCTGGTCTACAGAACAAGTTTCATGACAGCTAGGGCCATATACAGAGAAACCCTGTATCAAAAAATAAAACAAAACAAAAAACAGAAATCAAGTGTGTATAAGCAAGAAGCATTACAGAGAAATTAACTAAAATTATTATATATATATTTTGGTTTTTCGAGACAGAGTTTCTCTGTATTGTTTTGGAGGCTATTCTGGAACTCGCTCTGTAGACCAGGCACTAAAATTATTTTAAGCAGAAAATGCCAAGAAAAATTGTGTGTCTTAGATTACAAGAGTCAAGAAACAGTAAAAGTGATATTAAATATTGACATAATATTCCCTATGCCCATGGAATACCTGTTAAGGTCTTAACTCTTTTTTGACTATCTATCCATGAATATACTTGCATTTATCTTTTCAAATTTTCAGGCCTGGCTGAGGGATACCCTTTGGAATTTACCCTTTTATATTCTTTCTTATGGCCCTGCCATCTTTTACCTAAACTTCTAGTTTTCCTGATTTTTCCCTTTGCCTTTCAAACTGTTTCCCTGTTTTAAAATAAATCATCTCAATCTAGTAGCATTATTAGTAAGACATTTTGCTCTCTTTCTACCCCAGACTTTTTGTCTTAACTTATTTTTTTAAAGATGCTGTCATTTCTTCAGTGTTTGCTTTTGGCTTATTTGTCAAATATCAAAGGACTAAAGGTGAAACAGTGGCCTATATATCTTGGTGATAAGCAATAACTATATAGTAAGACTTAAGATTTGCTCAAAGGAGAAAAATCATGCCTGGTAATGGAAATCCAGCCAACTACTGAGGTTGTACTTCTTAGAGGAAAACCAGGTTCCCCTTGACTAAACCAGCACAATCTAACTGCATTCCAAACTTATCCTTATCCACATGCAAATGTAGATATTACGCTTCATCAAAGAAGCTTGTCTTTACAGTAGAGACCATCACAGAAAGTCACAACCAGTAATAACACACAGCACAATGGATTGTGTGGAGCTCAGACCCAATGTGTACATCTACAACACAACTGCACCTAAGACTCTGGGAATAATTGTTAAAGACAAAGTAGAAAGATTGTAAAAGCCACAGGACCAGGATATACAATACAATTTGGTATTGTGTTTCCTAGAAATGATAGGGAAGTTACACCCGTAATATCTCAACAATGTGACTGCCTAATAGGACCTGAGCAATGATAATGTCAATAGACATACTTATGTGAAAGGAACAACTCTGAGGGATTCTCAGACCTAAGTGGGAAAAAACTGTAGATAACTATTTTCTGAAAGGAGAATTAGTCTCTTCCAGGAATGATCTACCTAAATGGTTATCTAATACAAAGTGATCAGCCCTGAAATCATATACACACAAGCAATACCAAATGGATTCAGTGCTATATTTATATAATGTATACACATGTATATAATATATGTATAAGAAATATATACATGTGTATTTAACAATCAAAGGGGAAAAGGCTAACAGTTTGAGGAGAGGAAGGGATGGGAGGTATTAGAGGGAGAGGAAATACGAGTGGTTGGAGGTTGAGGCAATGGTGGCACATGCCTTTAATCCCAGCACTCAGGAGGCAGAAGCAGGAGGATCTCTGTGAGTTTGAGACCAGCCTGGTCTACAGAATGAGTGCCAGGACACTCTCCAAAGCTACACAGAGAAACCCTATCTCAAAAAACAAAAAGAGAATGGTTGGAGAGAGGAAAATGTTGTGATTAAATTTTAATTAAAATGAAAATAATAATAACTAAAAGTTTTAATTGTTGATAACAGGGCCTAGAACATAAAGAGTCAGTTTTCAGTGAATATGTGCTAGCAAACCACTGAGTGGTAAGTACAGGAAGAGTTTCCAAGCTTCCACCAATCCAGTATCTCATCAAACACTGTTTCTCATTCTAAAAATAACATGTAAGTTTCTGTGATGATAAGGATTGGGACGTTCTTATCGCAAGAATGATCCGGAGGGAAAACGTCCATCAATCTCATGCCTTACAAAGTGGGAGAGAATGGCCTCAAAAATCAAAACTCTCTGGCTAGAGACATGACTCAGCGGGTAAACAGACTTGTTGCACTCACATGAAGACCTGAGATGGGACTGTCATGTTTACAACACCTATGTAAAAAGCCATATGTGACTATACAAGTCTGTGACCCCCAGCACCAAAAGACCTAGCTCACTGGCCAACAGACTAACTCAGACTAGCATAAAAGCAAACAGATCCTGGCTCAGTAAAAGACCTTGTCTTGTTTTCAAGGATAAGGCAGCGAGCAATACAGGAAAACACATGATATACTCTTTTGGCCTCTGTGTGTGGGGGCATGTGCTTACACACACATACTTGTTGGCACATACTTGTATTACACATACATGCACACACACACACACACACACACAGAGGCTCAAAAGAATTCACTGAGTGTTGGGGGCATTATAGAACTGTAGAAATATGGAAAAGGATAACTGTAGAGACTGAAGAAGATCTCTAAAGGACCTGAGGATGGAATGACTGTTTGAAGTAAAATATAAAGGCTTTTTCCATTGAAGAGTGTGAGTAGGAAATGAAATGCCCTGATGAGAACTAGAGCAATAAAGCAGGGGGTAGAAGCCATTAAGAAATCAACAAGTTCACCATGATATATAAAGAGCTATAAAAAGAGGAAATATGAATACTTAATGGGAAGGTCTCATTCTAAAATTCACTTTATTAAAATATTTCTTAGAACAATGAGAAAAACATTAATGAGTATTAAAGTAGAATCATAAATTTCTCACTATTGATTATAGACTTTGTAAAGAACATATTTAAAACAAGCATGAGAGGGTAGAGAGAAGGCAATGCAGTTTAAGGTACTGGCTGTTCTACCAGAGGACCTGGGTTTGATTCCCACATGGTGGCTAATATCCATCAACAACTCCACTACCTGGGAATCTGACACTCTCTTTTGTCCCTGTGGGGGCTTCATATATGTGGTGCACGGACATATATTCAGGCAAAATACCCACACACATAAAATAAAAATAAATCATTTTGAAAACACTTAACTGAAATATGAATATCACATTTGTTTAAGGACTTCATACTCATAGGAAATGTCAATTGAATTGTTAAGGCGGGACGTGAAGCCTGATCAGTCACATGTCTAAGGATGGAATGATGAATAAAATGCAGCAATATTCCAGTTGCTAAAGGTGTGCTTAGAGAAAGTTCCTAGACATCTGACTCACAATACATTAGAAACAGGACTAACTTCCAAAAGACCTAATCGGGAGTAGACTGCAGGCCCCTGCCCTTCTTTGCCAAATATTTTCCTCTGGAGTCCAGTTTTTAGGCAATGGAATAGCCCTCACTTGAAGAGTCATCGTGGACCTTTGACAGTTGTCTATAGCATCCCTGAGTCTGAAGAACAGTGACATCAGGAGTCACAAGTTCTCTTTCCAACCTGAACAGTAACTGTAGGACCAACAGAGGCATCTTGAGAATAACAAGTATTTTCATGATCTGTGTGGGACATTCATGTCTAAAGATGGCACTGAGTCAGAACCACATAACAAAGGACAAAACAAAACAGGAACTGCTTTGGGTCACACTACTCTCTTCCAGGAAGACTTTCAGAAGCAATACTGGACCCTCTAGACTGATGAAAGGGGAGGGTATGATTATAGCCCTGCACTACTTAATCCAAGAATATCTCTAAGAGGTAATTTTTAAATAATAGTATAATAACTTAATAAATATAAATTGAATCATCAACAAGAAACAATAAGATGTTAAAACTGGGTAAAATGAGACTGGTTTGCAGAGGTTTGAACAGCATCGAACAGGGCTAGTTTGCCTTGTGGGGACCAGGTTTATTTCCCTTTTTACAGTCAGCATCTCCACAAAAGTGAACACAATGGAGTTGAAGGTGCACATATACAAAATATGGTAGTTTCCCAAGCAAGATCTGGTCCACTCAGCAATGCATGTTTCTTTTCTGCTTCTTTCTTTCTGGATTTTAGTCTTTATTTTCAAGACGTTGGCAACTTTATTAACAGTCTAAATTCAGACATGTAAACTGTTTTGCTCTCCTCAGCCACCAGCTGCTCTGGAGATACAGAACACTATACACAACAATAAAACAAAGATGAATGTAGAGGGAAATTGTGAAAATATTTTAAATTGACCAAATAAAAGTTCCTTAGATTTAGCTAATGAACATCTTAACCATCTCCAGATTCTACCCTCTTCAAGTTATTTAAAATATTGACTAAGTTGCAACAACCAGAAACCAGTAATACTATTTTGATATTTAAAATGAAATTAAGTGTGGCCAGGGGGAGTATATTAATGGCTGACCTTATTTAGATTTCCCAATTTGTTTTTAAATTCATTCCAGCAATCTTTATTACCCTTTCTGTCTGTGTGTAATATGTTCACTGATGTGTGGCAATGTGTTCACCCCTGGTGAATTTTACTTTGAAATAGTCGTGATATTTTATTGGTTCACATACCAGTAAGAAATTGAACTCTTCAGCAGACATTCACTTTACATGAACTAAAGTTGTCTATTTAATATGTATTCTTTAAATTGTAAAATTAATGATAGTATTCTGGTCAGATTCAGATCAAACAGGAGTCAAGAGAGCTCATTTAAGATGATAGCCTTTTTTCCTGTTTTTTCCTATTAATTTTTTATTCATTTTACTCTCTTCCTCCCTTCCACCCTTTCCCCCCACCTCCCGCCAGCTCACCTCTCCATCTACTCCTCAAAAAGGCAAAGCATCCCATCGGAAGACAACAGAGCCTGGCACATTCAGTTGAGGTAGGACCAAGATCACCCCCCTCCCCCCACTTCCCACACTGAGGCTGAGCAAGGCATCCCATCATATGGAATGGGCTTCAAAAAGCCAGTTCATGCACCAGGGATAGATCCTGATCCCACTGTTGGGGGTCCCACAAACAGACCAGGCTACACAGCTATCACCCACATTTAGAGGGCCTAGTTTGATCCCATGAAGACTCTCAGCTGTGAGTCTAGAGTTTGTGGACTCCACAAAGTTCAGGTCAGCTGTCACTATGGGTTTTCACATCATGATCTTGAACCCCCTGCTCTTACACTCCCTCCTCCCTTTCTTTGACTGGACTCCCATAGGTTGTCCTGGTGCTTGGCTATGGATCTCTGCATCTGCTTCCATCAGTTTCTGGATGAAGGTTCTATAATGACAGTTAGGTGATTCCTATTGCTAAGAGTCTTAGCTGGGGTCATCCTTCTAGATTCCTAGGAATTTCCCTGGCACCAGGTTTCTCCCTAATCCCAAAATGGCTCCCTCTATCAAGATGTCTCTTTCATTGTTCTCCCACTCCATCCTTCCCCCAACTTTATCATCCCATTCCCTCATTTTCACATCCTCCATCCCCTCCCTTCACTCCCCTGCCCCCAGTTCACCCAGATCTCATAAAATTATAACTTCCTTAACAATGTGAGGTGCACGCTCACCCTGAACTCTTGGGGAAGGGTCTAGGCCCTGCCCTATATGAAATGACAGACTATGGACACCCCCATGGAGGGCCTCACCCTCCCTGGGGGAATGAGGGGATAACGAGGGGGGGGCTGGGGGGAGGGCACGGGAGAAGGGGAGGGAATGGGAGAGGGACCTGGAACTGACTTGTGAAGCAACCTCGTTTCTTATCTAAATATAAACTGGAAAATAAATTATATAAAAAAAAGAATGGTTTTCAAGCTCCAGAGAGATGTACTCTCATCACACAAACCACATACTTTGCATGTTTTCTACTTATGCACAGATTGCCATAACAAAGCTTGTCTTTAACATTCCTTATGAATGGATATATTATTATTATTATTATTATTATTATTATTATTATTGGTATTTGTTTTGTTTTGCAAGACAAGATTCTCTGTGTAGCTTTGGAGCCTATCCTGGCACTCGCTCTGTATACTAGGCTGGCCTCGAACTCATAGCAGTCCTCTTGCCTCTGCCTCCCGTGTGCTGGGATTAAAGGTGTGTGTCACAAATGCCCAGTCTATTATTGGTGTTATTATTATTATTACTTATTTTATGTGTTTGAGTATTTTGCTTGCCTGTATGTCTGCGTACTACATTCATGACTGCATACTATATGTATGCCTGCTGCTACAGAGTCCAGAAGAGGATTCAAATCCCCTGGAACTGGAGTTACAGATTGTTTTAGCCACCTTGTAGGTATTGGAAATTGAACCAGAGTCCCCTGCAGAATAACCTGTGCTCATAATCACTGTGTTACCTCTCCTGCAAATATTCCATATATACATACATATTTTCTCATCAGACCTCTAGCCTCACAGTAACATCTTCTCCAATAAACTGATTAGACTCCTAGCAGGAGGCTCCACGCTCAGTCAATATTTTATGTTCATGTAACTTCTATGAATTCTCCCTTTTTTTGGCTTTACAAAGGTCTTCTTTCATGGACCTCCTTGGTTCCTCTACTGTTTCCTAGGGTGGTAAGATACTCTGCTATTCTCAAGTAAGTAACATTGTACTTTGAAGAAATTTGCCCTTTGCTTTCTGTTTTGTTGGGTTTGGGGTAATTTGCATTTTAGGGGGTTGACAAACTAATAAACAAGATTCAGAAGTGATTGACCAAACAGACACACAAATCAAAGTTTACACTTCAGCTCTTACCTTTCTCATCTGTGGCAGTACACTGAGAGCCAACAAAATGTTATCATCAACACCCCAGGGAAATGATCACTGGGAGTCCTGTCTTTTTCAAGAAAGACTGAAACAAAATAAGACATCAGAAACATATGATGGTCCAGTTGCTTCACAATGTTATTAATACTTGTTTTCAATATGGTAAACCTAATGAATGTCATAAAGAAGGATTTGTTTCTTTGGTTGATTTGTTTTGCTTTTTTTTGTATTTTTGTGGGTTTGTGTGTTTGAGACCAGTATTTACTGTGTAGACCACCCTGATCTAGCACTCAAAGAGATCTACTTGTCTCTGTCCTCTGAGTGCTCGGATTAAAGTCATGCACCTTCAATAATTTTAATAGACATAGTGTCCTTATTCCTTTAAGTGTATCCACTCTTAGAGAAGAATAATCCAACCAAAATGAATGTCTATGCCTCTGTTATATTACCTTATCATTACATTATATTACGTTACCTTCCATAATATTCTTAAGGTGAGCTTTATAATTACCTTTTAATTTTGCAGTGAAATAACATACACATTCGCATTTTTAAAACATTCAATAAATGAAGATGTGGCTAGGAAAAGTAGAAAGTATTTCCTCAATGAAACATTTATTTGTGTTTTCTACATTTTACCCTAATCAAGACTAAAGGTACAATAAATAGATACATTATAATTTTAAAGCTTTTCAACACAAAAGCACACATATACCAGAAATTGTCCTGTTTTCTCATTATCTCAGAAAGGTGTTTTATAGGATCTGAGACAAAGAAGAGCAGAAAGCAAATTATATAAATCCAATTCAGAAAACCTGAGACCTGGAGTCATGTACGAGGAGAAATCAGTATACTTCTCTTTCTTCAGAATTATTGAAAGAAGAAAGTCAAGTTTTTGAATAACAGAGTATGGAGTCATGAATGCAAGAAATAAATATACATCCTTTATCTCCAAACCAGAGTACCTGGGACATACAAAGGAGAGCCTCGAAGTTCATGGACTCCATATAGACATGGGTATGAAGGAAACACTTAAAAGGCATTCTGAATCCTCATAAAAGATGTTCTTCAAGAGAGAAGTCAGCACAATTTCCTCTAGAGCATTTTCTTTCCAGTGGGACATGCTACAATTGCCTCTGAAGGGCTTGTCCTCATATTAAACAAGTTTAAAATGGCAACACAAAACAGAAAATTATTTTTCTTTTTTCAGTTGAATTTTTTCATGCAATGTATTGATTTTAATCATGAGTTTTCCCCTGATGTGGGATGTCCTTCTGTATGCTGTGAATATATAATTTTTCTTATTGGTTAATCAATAAAGCTATTTTGGCCAATGGGCAGGCATGATGTAGCCAGCCAGGAAGTATAGGCAAGGCTACCAAACAAGGAGAATTCTGGGAAGAGGAAAGGCAGGGAAGCAGTAGCCAGAAGGAGATGCCATGTACCCCGCAAAGGAATGACATGCCAGAGCATTACCAGTAAGTCACAGCCTCTCAGCAATACATAGTTTAATAGAAATGAGTTAGTAATTAAGAAAGAGCTAGCCAATAAAAAGCCTGACCCATTGGCCAAATAGTTTATAATCAATATAAGCCTCGGTGTGTTTATTTGAGACTAAACAGTTGTGAGACTGTGTCATCATTCCCCTCCTCTAGTTTCTCCCACATCCTCCGCACCTCACTAACCACCCAACTTCATGTTCTTTTTCTCTCATTTCTGTTGCTAAAATGTAAATAAGTACAAATCAGACTTACTGCTGACTAGACAATCTTACTTTAAATGAAAGTTGTTCCAAAAGTTTCTGTACTTTCTAATTCATGTGTATACCCCTAAAGCTCCGTGTCTTGAAAGACAGTACTCAATGTGATGGTATTTTTAATGAAAAGTCCTTGGGATACGATCAATAGATGAGGGGACAAGGATAGAAACCCCATGATGGGATTAGTATCCTCAGAAAAGGGGGAGATGAGAGCCCTCTCTCTTCTGCCTTGCAAGCACCAAGGAAAGGCCATGTGAGCACACTAAGAAAGTAGCTGTCTGCAAGCATATCTCCCACCCTTGGATACCAAGTCTGCTGAATGCTTGGTGTTGAATCCCCTATCTTCCAGAAATCTGGAGACTGTTTGTTGTTTTTGTTACTTTTTTCTGTGACAAACACTGCCACCACTGAATCACATCGAATCTCATCCCTCTTCCTAAAAGACACCTGATTGCCAGTTGTCTTTTTGCCATCTTGGACTGCTAAATATTTTTAAATAGTTCTATAAAAAAAACAAACTATGAGCCGCCAGAGGAATAAGAGGTCCCATACCCATTTCTCTGGTAAGAGAAATACTTAGATTAACAATTATGGGTTAAATACTTAAGTCAGAGCTAGCCAGTAAGAAACAAGCAAATGGCCAACAGTTTGTAATTGAAAAAAAATTTGAGCCTCTAATTTATCTTTTGTGCCTCAGTTTCCTCATCTCTGATATGAATAGCAATAGAACATAATGGGATATAAATGAGATAGTGATTTTTAAACGATCAGTGTACTGATTAGCATATAAGAAGTTTTCAAACTCTTATAGCTATCTCTATATTTTCAAAGTGTGATCTTTCTGTCTTTGTGTAACTTTGCTTTTCACCTAGCAACATCTCTTAAGTTGTCTTTTATATCTATACATGTATAACTCTACCACTTTTTATGATTATTCTGTAAAATTTCATACTATGACTGTACCACAGAAAATTTAACCCTTTCACTGAGTGAAGCTGTTGTCTGTTCACAAAAGTGAACCAGACTATTGGTTGGCTTCTGCTGTAAAAGTGGAAATCTACATCAAAGGCTATGTTCAATAGTAATCTTGATAGACAACATGGTTCTTCAAAAGGTAAAACAAAAATTGGCACAGGAGGAAAGTATGACTTTCTCAAACATGAATTCAAGTCTTTTACTTTTCTTATATACAGATGTGGTGACACAGAACAGAGCATTTAAGTGAAATACACACTCATTTATCACTAATACTTTCTTTTTTGTTTTGGGGTTTTTAGCATTTTATTTATACTTGTTATAAGTATTTAGATGAGATATCATAACAGAAAATGAGTCAAAATGTCAGAATTCATACTTGAAGCATAT